CCCTGATTAACAACATGCGGAAGCCTATAATAAAACTAACTCTTTTTTAAACTGCCTGGAAAGTTAAATTATATTAGTGGATCGCAATCCGTTTGATTCAATTTAACGGTCCATTTTAATTTATAACTTAATTGTTGCCTGATTATCACCTTTTCATTATGCATTAGGCGCATAAAAGCTTTCATGTCACAGTTTATATTCAACCACGTAGAGCTTGAAAAGCGAATGACTTTCGGGAACAGCATTCTTACTTTATCCTGTATGGTTTCATCTCGCTCCTGAATTTCTTTTTTTAAGCCCTGAATGTCGCGTTCTTGACCACGAATCACGTTGTTTAACTTCTGAGTCTCCCCGTGAGACTTCTTTAACTCCTCCGTGTGCTCATCGATCTCCTTCTGGAGACTGGCAAACTTCTTCTTCATGATACCCGACTCGCCACGCAGGCGCGCAATCAACTCCCTCTCCTCCCTTAACCGTCGCTCATACTGCGTCTTCAGGTCCAAAATCTCTTTATCTGCATCTTCCTCAATCAGCCTCTTGGTCACCTCGTGCTCCATTACTTGTTCTCTATTCTCTTTTTTCAAGCTCTCCATTAACTGGGTCTTCTCGTTCAACTTGGTCTCAAAGAAGGTTGTCAGTTCCTCCAACATCTTCTCTTTTGCTGTGGTCATTTCCGCAATTTGGCTCTCGTAGGACTCCTGCATTGATTGCGCCTTCTCCTGTAATTCAGCGTTCTTCTCTACTTCCAGACTCATCTGTTGACTGGAAGTGATTTCGAGCTCCTTGAGTTCGCGGCTGTGCAGCTCCATTATTTCTTGCTTCTCCTCACTGTGGCGCGCCTCTTCGCGATCTTTCTCTAGACGCAGAGTCTGGTTCTTCATACGGAGGGTTTCCATCTCTTTGATGAACTTCTCTGTCAACTCTTTGATGCGTTCACTATAGTTCATGTCCTTCAGACGCAGCTGATACTCGTTTTCCATCTTTAGCTCATCCACACGTGTTCTTAACTCCAACATTCCCATGTTCTATTTGTAATGCAACATTTTTTAGCATCAAAGAATCACAAACTTTCGGCTGACTATTAACTTGGACAACTAAAAATAATGATTTCGATCTCTCCTCCCACTTCCCTCCCCCCGTCCCTCGAGACAGGCACCACGAGAAGAGGTCAAGTACTTGTGGGATTTATAATTCAAGCCTATTCCATCCCCATTGCAAATCCGTTTTCGTTAATGTCTAACTCACATGGCCACCAAATATAGTTTGATGCCATAAATAGCAATTTGGTATCTTAATGGGCAAAGAATATTCCCTTTTTTCAAAACCTATGTTTGCTTAAAACAAGACAAGTAGTATCAATTTCAGTAGGTTTGGTCCTTACTTTGTGGGGTAAGCACATCAAAAATGCAAATTTCCACCCATCATCACCTTTAGGCATCGGTTTTCTAATTAAGTCAGAGGACAAGTGTGCTTCAATCAACTTAACAGTTAGCTTCATGCATCCTAGGAACAAATTTTTTTGAAAAAACAGGGATTATTAAAATCCCTTTCTTCTTGCAATACCTTAGTATCGGCCAATTTCATAATGCTGGCAGCCGTTTGTTCTGAATTCTTTATGTCTTTCATTCTCTCAACAATCAGCAACATTTAAAAAGGTTTTTTAACTTACCCTCTCTTCCAGGTCTGAACGAGTGATGAGAACCTCCTCAGCCCACATTACGTCTCTCTCAATTTTTACATTTCGGCTGTCCCGTTCTTGTAATGTCCACACCATTATGGAACTGTCATTGGAGACAGTGACAAGGTATTCATCATTTAACGTGATTCGCATCTTCAAAATTGCATCGCAGTGACCCACGTAATCCTCCCAGACATTGTGGTTCGAAAAGGGGAAACGGTAGGACCGCACATGACCCTCCTGTCCTCCACAAATGAGTATTCGGCCGCTGCGTGACAACGCGATCGTTGTGAGTAGCATGTCGTCAGACTCCACCTCTAGCGTTATCTAGTGGAAAAATAAGGTTACTAGTTTAGGCATTACTAAAGAATTCCAAGTAAGCAAGGCTGTAACGTTGCAAACGGACAGCGGATTCTGTTATCTCCTTCACTTTACGATCCGAGCCGACGGCGTAGATTATTTTGGCATCCTCGGTGGTTGTCACACAGCTGTAACTGCAGGACTTCATCACGTTTTCATTTACTCTCTTGCCTAAATTTTTTCAAAAATCGTTTTTATGTTTTTACTTAAATGATACGGATTTAGCTAAAAGATAACGATTCTGGTGGGGACATTCACATCGCTCGAAAGTTTCAAGTGAAAAAACGCATCTGTACCGTTTTATGCCTTCAACAATAAGAGGAGAGGATTTTTAAAAGCTGCACTGAGGGTACACAATGCCAAACTACACAGACAAGTGTCCAATTCGAAGCAAATTAAAAACGATAACCAACTACCAGTATATTTTCGGTACATTTATATAACAAGTTAGAAA